ATATTCTTTGGTTGTGCTCTATTAGCCACCATTGAGGTATGGCTTTTTTGTAGGTTTTCCTAGCAATGCAAACCAGATGTTGGATAAAACAGTGGTTTGCAGAGGTAGACCAGCTCACAAACTCTTGTTCTCTGCTGAGGCTTAGGACAAGCGTCCTCCTATCTCAGGCAGTGTCTCTGAGTGGAAAGACCTTAAGCGGAAGGATTTCTAAGATCTTTAACTTTTGGGAGTAATTCAACTCACCAGCACAACCCCCTTCTCTTCATCTACCGCAGGTAGCAGGATTATGTGGGCAACTCTGCTAGTGTCCACTTGCTGGAGCAGGCAAGTTTAGCCTTTTTCTGAGGGGAGTCACAGGATTCTGCTGTTTTAGCTCATTTAGGGAGCTTTTAAAACCCAGATTTTGGCCCAGTGCCTCAAGAAGTTGCAAAGCTAACCTACTCTGCGTGGTCCCTCAGTACCTATTCTCTTCCTAGAGAGAACTGTGGAGATCTTGATAACTCTGACCATATCCTCCAGGCTCAGCCAGTACATCTGAAAAGTTGAGGAGGAGGTTAGGGGTGTGGGCTTGGGCCTTCCATCATCTTAGAATCCAGAAGCTAAATTTAGGTAAACCATTTCTACCTACTGTTCAACTTTTTATTTGCATTTACCTACATTTTATACTTATGATAGAGAATAATACACATGGAGACCTATTTGTTATTTGGTAATAGTTTAGAAAGATGACTTTTTTTTTTTTTTTTTAGATTTTCTGTTCAGTAAGACAGCCTTTGTATGGACATATATCTCCTTTTCTCTTGGGTAAATACCCAAGAGTGGTATGACAGGATCATCAAGTAGGTATATGTTTAATTTTTTAAGAAACTGTTAAACTTTTTTCCAATGTGGTTGTACCGTTTTGCATTCCTGCAAGTGGTATATAAGAATTCTCATTTCTCTACGTTTTTGCCATTATATGGTATAGACTGTCATCTTAATTTTATCCTTCCTAATAAGTATGTAATGGTTTCTCAGAGTTTTAATTGGCATTTCCTTAATGACTAATGATGAACATCTTCTCATTTGTTTATTTGCCATGTGTAGGGTGATGTCTTCTTTAATAGGTAGAGGGCTATTCCAATGACATATTTCTTTTTTCACTGAACTTTGGTAGTTTGTGTCTTTCAAGGAGTTTGCCCCTTTCATCTAAGTTGTCCAGCTTATTTATGTTATCTCTCTAATTTCTGATATTTCTTCTTTTTTATTTCCTAGTCAGTCTGGCAAGAGGTGTGTTAATTTTAGTGATCTTAAACAGATTTTGGTTTTATTGATTTTTCTGTTTTATTGATTTCCATTCTGATCTCTAGTATTTCTTTTTCTGCTTACTTTCAGTTTTGTTTGCTTTTTTTTTTGTTTAAGGTGAAGATTGAGGTCATTGATTTAAGATTTTTCTTTTCTTCTAACATAGGCATTTAAAGATACAAATTTTCCATTTATAGCAACATGCCACAAATTTTGATGTGTTTTTATTTGTATTCAATTCCAAATACGATTATTTCCCTTTTGATTTCTTCTTTGATCCATGGGTTATTTAGAAGCTTGTTACTTAGTTTCAAAATATCTGAGGGTTTTCCAAAAATATTCTATTACTGATTTCTAACTTAATTCCATTGTAGTCAAAGAACAAAAATTGTATTTATTTTACATTCATATATACTAGTAACCCCAGCACACATTGTTGTTACTCTTATTTAAACAGTCACTGGTCTTTTAATGAAATTTAATTCAAATCCTTTTTTTCTGATCCTTCTTCTCTCCTTTAGGGACTCCATATATGTGAATATTAGGCTACTTGAAGCTGTCCCATGATTCACTGATGCTGTCTCTTTATTTTGTTCTTTTGTTGTATGTTCTCATGAGTAATTTTTATTATCATGCTTTCATGTTCACTGATCTTTTCTTCTAATCTCATTCAGTTTATGTTTCTTCTCCAACATCTTAATTTTAATCTATGTTTCTATGTTATGTCTGATCTCATTCAGTTTATGTTTCTTCTCCAACATCTTAATTTTAATCTCTAGGGTTTGGTCTAAGTCTATTCTGTAACAGTTTGAACATATAAAATAGTGCTGTAATTGTTTAATGCCCTTTTGTGCTAATTCTCACATCTGGTTCTGTTCTTGATCACTTTTCATTGATGGAATATTTTTTTCCTCATTATATCTTGTATTTCTTACCTCTTTGCATCTTTAATTGAATGCCAAACATTATGAATTTTACTTTATAGTGTGCTGAATATTTTTTAGTCCTGTAAATTTTGAGCTTTGTTCTGGGATACGGGAAGTTACCTGGACAGTTTGATCCATTCCTATCTTGCTTTCATGCTTTGTTGTTTGGCAGATTTTGAGTAGTGTTCAGTCTAGATTAATTATTCCCTAGAACTGAGGCAGTACCTTTCTGGGATTACCACAGGAATACCTAAGTATTAGCTTCCTGAGTATTCTATGAAGTGCCTCAGGAATTATGAGTTTCATCAGTCCTTTTGATGGGAACAGGCATTGTCCCAGCCCTGTATGAGCACCATGCACTAATGGCCTTTTCTGACCCTTTTGTATTCTTCCACCTTGGGGAGTTTCTTCACATGTATGGGCTTATCAGTACTCTTAGAGTTCTCTCTGTGTGTGTAGCTTTCTTGTCTCCGGTACTATCATAGGAATTTTAATAGTGTGCCTTGGAGAGAGGAAAAAAAAATTATAATTAAAATATGGATGATAAGAAATACAGCTCTCCAGAGTCTTTCATTTATTAAGATAAATGAGTTTAGTTTTTCTGGAGAAAGAGGGTAGAACAAATGTGTATGTGTGCCTTTAAGGTATTGAGATTGCTGTCTACAGATTGAGCAATAGTTACATACATTATCTGCAGTATTTGGGGGAGTGGAAAGAGAAGGGCCATTGTAATACTGTGTAATGACATTTTTGCTATAATTACATTAAAACTTTAGGAATGATCATTTACCCAACTAAAAAAATTTAAAGACAGTACTGTTCACGATCATGTTAGTGGTAAATAGTACTGAGATACAGAAATACAGCATTTAGTAACAGATAAAGCTTTAGATTATTAGTAAAGAGGATTGAGATAGAATACTAAAGTAGTAAAACCAAGCCATTACCTGTAATTTCATCTAGTATACCATATATTTGAAATTTCTAACTACTGGTGCAAAATGATACATATTCTCTCTGACATTGTAGTCTTCTAAACATTGTTTAAATTCTTAGTATAAGCATTTGATACTCTGAAATGTTGAACTTTTGACCAGAGTGATTGCTATTCAGGACAGCTTTTGTTAGACCATGCTAAAGTTATTAGTCTAAGTACAATGCCATATTATTTTACTTTTCTGTCCCATATAAGGTAACAGTAGAGCTTTGAAATTTTAACAGTCACTGATCTGTGTAAGGGTAATGGTGTCTGGGTAACTTTGATGTGGTTTCATTTGAAGCCATTTTCCTTTTGATTTTGTGTTCTCCGTGTTATGAGAACATAAAACTTACATGTGAGGAGTTAGCAAAGGTGATCTTATTTGAAGAATTATGCACTTTTTCTTCTCTATCCCAATATATTGAACTAGAATATTTGAATACATTCTAAAATACTGAACTTTATAGATTAAAAAGCCAAATCTCCCTGACTCTAATGAATGTGAGTGTTTCCTCTGTTACTTCTTAAGTGAAAAACAGGAAACCAGTACTGGAAAGAAATTTGAAACCTTGGGTAATTTTTTTGGTTTGCCTCAGTCCTACTTTGGGTGAATGCCCACTTGCCTTTAAAATGATAGGAATTCAATATTAGCCTTAAGTAGTTTGGGTTAAACATTTGCTGTTTCACTGTTTTGCCTATAAATGTTTACTTAGAAACAGCTAAGTGTAGTATTTTCTATATTTACATATTAATGTAAAGTAGTTTTTGAGCTTCACAAGTCATAGATGTGTGCCATGACCATATAATGGCACCGTTTGTTTTAAAGATCAGTTTATATTTTTAAAATGTTTTGTTTACTTAGAAAAAAGAGCTGACGTTCAGATTTTGGAAACTGAAGATTTGCTCTCTTTTTTTCTGAGTTTCAGGCTATATTTTATAATAAATCAATCTAGCCATTTTCCTTTTGGTTTTGTGTTCTCCGTGTTACGAGAACATAAAACTTACATGTGAGGAGTTAGCAAAGGTGGTCTTATTTGAAGAATTATGCACTTTTAAGTAATAAATTTATCTTTTTTCAGACGTGGACACCATTCACCTTATTAACTCAGTTGTCTGGACAGTGCATGAACTTTTCTGTGTTTGACTATGAATATTAGACTAGAGAATGAAATGAAGAGCAGTATTCTTTTTCCATTTGAAGATTCTTCACTTTTACTTAGATTTTTGGTTCTAATGTCTGGGCACAATAAAATGGACATTCCTTTAGACCAGTATGGATAATGGGTAAAGGCCTGGAAGACGATGTCAGCTCTGCTAGTTTTCAGCTGTTTGACTTCCATCATGCTATTTAATACCTATTTAATTCAGTTGATTTTGAAATAAATATTGTGAAGTTATATTTCATAAACTTTGACTAGAATCAAGCATTTTATCATACTGTTACTATTTGGTGACTTGCTTTAAAATAAACCTTGGAATAATTACAACAGAGTTCAAAAAGGTCTATTTTTTAAATTTTACAAAATGATCATTACTCTGTTATATTGAATAATATAGTTATTTCTGGATAATTTCTATAATATATTATAAACTTGATTTTTATTACATGTTTATGAAATATTCTTCAATCTGTACAAACCTTTCTTTTCAAGATGGGTCAATTTTATGTGCATAATTAGACCTCACTTCTCCAAAGGAGTATTCTTAAGCATAATCTTTTTCAACATAAAGATATATAAAATTAAAATTCAGGGATGGTTAATACCCTTACTTTTTAATTCATGGCTAAGTAATAAATTTATCTTTTTCAGACAGCAAATGGCTACATCCTATTTTTTCACATTATATCTACAAGAGGGGACAAGTACCTTTATGAACCTGTATATCCCAAGTAAGTTTGTTGTTTTTCATTCTTTTAATATCAACATACTTTACATTCAAAAAAACATAGTCTTGGGTTGTCTAAAGTGATTAAAATAAAGCTAACCTAGCATTTCCAAACAGATGGTTTAAAAAATTAGTAAGTCTTTATAGTTATTTTTTGAATGAAGAATTCTGTAATTACAGAAGTCTAATATAATTATAACTAAATATGCCTTAGATTCTTGGATGATATTCTTCTTGGACATACTCAAAATAACAGTACACTCCAGGTTCTAGAGTTCTCAAGTCTTTATTAGAGAAGAGCTAATCATGAGAGGAAGAAGTGAAATATTAGTAAGCTCTTTTGCTTGTGTGTTTTTATATATGTATAGAGAAGAAATGTACTCCAGTGATTACATCTTCTGGTTAAAATTTGAAGAGACAAGGCCTTTTGTTCTTCAGACCGAACATATATCTATATATTTTGCCTTGTTTTTTTCTTTATAGCATACATTTGAAAATCATATGTAATTTTAAAGCATGCCATTTTTTTAAAAGGGCAAGCTATTGTAACTGGATGAAAACATAAATGAATATATATCCCATTTCTAGATGGTAGAAGATGATTCAAGTTTAATACGTATATAGGAAATTAATGTGAAAAATAGGTTTCATTATATGAAAAGTAATCAGAATCAACAGAATTTAACTTAATTAACTTATAATACTGTGAGTGGTTAGAGTAGGAAGGTAACTTTTCTTGAAACAAAGAAAACGTTTTATTTCACCTCACAAACATGCTTTACTTAAGTTTACCAGGTTTCTGAAGAGTATTTTGCAACACTATTTGCGTTCCTGAGAAGTTTTTAAAACAGTTCCTTAGTTTCTGATTGTAACTCTCCAGGGGCACACTCACCTTATTAACTCAGTTGTCTGGACAATGCATGGACTTTTCTGTGTTTGACTATGAATATTAGACTAGAGAATGAAATGAAGAGCAGTATTCTTTTTCCATTTGAAAATTCTTCTTTGTTACTCTTCATTGTTACTTAGATTTTTGGTTCTAATGCCTGGGCACAATGAAATGGACATTCCCTTAGATCGGTATGGATGGTGGTTAAAGGGATTGGTTTTTGGAGTCATAAAGGCCTGGAAGACAATGTCAGCTCTGCTAGTTTTCAGCTGTGTGACTTCATCATACTGTTTAATACCTCTAAAACTCAGTTTCCTCATCTGTAGGATGGGACAGCAGCAGTAATTATTTCATAGGATTAAATGAAGTCATGCATGTTAAATAGTTTAGATAAGTTCCTGATTCATAGAAAAGTCAACGAAGAATACCAAACCAGAACAGACTCACTGCAGCTGAGTCAGATCCGACTCATAGCAACCACTCCTTGGGTTTCCGAGACAGTATCACTGTTGAGGGAGTTCTGGTAGCATAGTGCCTAAGGCACTTGACTGCTAACCAGAAGGCTGGTGGTTCAAACCCACCAACCACTCCCCGGGAGGAAGGTTGAGCAATCTACTTCCATAGTGATACTGCCTCGGAAACCCAAGGAGGGGTCACTATGGGTCAGATCTGACTCCACAACAATGGTTGCCTTGCCTTTATCACTATTGAAGTAGATTGCCCAGTCTTCCTTCGAGGAGTGGCTGGTGGGTTTGTACCGCCAGCCTTCTGGTTAACAGTCAAAAATGCCTTAGGCACTTCACCACCAGAGCTCCTCAATAAAGGATAGCTGCTGTTATTTATTTGATATTTGTAAGTGCCCTTGAGTCAATTCCGACTCATAGGGACGCCATATGACAATACAGTTATCCTATAGGGTTTTCTAGGCTGTGATAATTACAGGAGCAGATCATCAGGTCTTTCTGCAGAGCCACTAGGTGGATTCAAACCACCAACCTCTTTTGGTTTGCAGCCTAGAGGTTAACCATTGCACCACTAGGGCTCCTAATTATTTATTAGAAAGACAAGGTTTCCTTTACCACACTTTTGCTTCTATTTTTAAAATACTAAGCAGTATTTTAAAACACATATATTTGGCTTCATAATGTACCTCTTTGCCAGAGTTTCAGCTTTGAATAACTGCTGCATAAATCCAAGCAAAATCTCTTTTATGAGGATAATTTTTTAGAGCAAAACAGATTAAAATTGGCCTGTGGTGTACTGGTGTGCTGGACTACTTTCTACTTTCTAGTTGGGTTACTCAGTCTAGTAAGTTACTTAGCCTTTCTGTAGAACTCATTTGTAAAATGGGTGTAAGATACCTTCTTCCTCAACTGTTAGAATTATATGAACTCAAGTTCTTAAAACCTGAATAATAGTTGTTAATATAAGAGTTTGAGGAGAGTAAAAAGAAAAAAAGTTTGGTTTTGACAGTGATATTGTTATCAATGCTGCTGTAAGCCTTTCTGTAGTTCAAAATACTATTCCAAGAACTTTTTTTCTTTTTAAATATTTATTTGAACCCCATAATGACCTATAAGGTATAATTACTATTCAGCTCTGAAAGAATTGGCCAGGGAAAACCTTAGCAAAGAAACACTGTTTGGTACATTACCACGCAACTTTAGGAATAGTCCGTTTAGGCTAAAAGGCTCTCAAAATAGGACTGGGAAAGAGCTGCAACATCTGAGTAAACCCAGCCTTACTCA